CCTTGGAAGCCGATCCTTTATTCTGGCCCAGCCTTCAGGTGGCTGCAGCCCTACATGACATCTTTGCTTCAATCCCATAAGGGACCCTGAGCTGGAGCTCCTCAGTGAAGTCACTCCCAAATTCCCAATCCACAGACTGTGAGTGAGACAATTAATGTGTATTGTTATTTTAAGCCACTGAGTCTGGGGATAATGCCTTGTGCAGCAGTAGATATGCCTGCCACTCAGTAGATTTTAGTCGCTCTTTATCACTTGCCTGGATGAGGAATACAATGGATAAATCAAATTTAAATGACAGCCGATGCTTTGTGTGTCCTGTCTGCTCTGATTTCTCCTGGCTCTGATGTTCCACGGCCCTATCATTAGAGTAATGTTGTCAATGCCCTGCTTGTAACCCCCAGACCTCTCTGTGCTCCAGATCAACTTCCTACTGCCAGGATGTGTATTTCTGCGCTCAAAAGCCCAGATGATTCCGAGGAGTATAGTTGCTCCATTTCCCAAAGGATTTAAGCTTCAGTTTCCCACAGTGGTCACTGGCTTAATCACACATGCCTTCTTTGTGTGATTTCACTACCTCCATGCTGTGTCCTTGCATGTCCCACATAAACCCCTTGTCCTCCAATCCTTTCCTCCTGGTCTGCTTTTTGGGGGAGCCGCCAGGAAGACAATGATTTTTTTTGCAAGTTGGGACCAAGACTTGTTCTTCCTTGTACTCCCACAGGCTTAAGATTCAGCCAGGTTCTCAATTCTAGAATCAGCCTTCAGGTGCCCTGTAGGAGTGTCTTCATGGTCTCCTTAGGCTGAGGTTCTGGTGGCAGGGACTGAGAGAGGGGGCGGGGCGGAGAGAGACCAAAACCACACTTATCCTGGGGGACTCCAGGCTCTTAGCTCTCCTCTTTCTGCCCCACTCCTGTCTGCTGTGATGGGAGCCCCAGGATCTTCCTGTCTGAGAGTCAGAGCTGCTCATCACAAGGCAATGAGACACCCATGGGTCTGGCCACAGCCTGAGCCTGGATTCCCAATTCCCGGGACCAGGAGCAGAGCAGTGCCGCTGCCTTGGGTTCCAGATGGGGTGGTTGGGGAGGGAGGATGGGGAGGAGAGAGGAGAAAGAGGAAAACCGGGGCTCCTTCAGACTTCTGCCCTCCAGACCTGTAAGAATCAATTTCTGTTGTTTTAAGCCACTCCATGTATGGTGGTGATTTGCTACAACAGGACCAGGAAAGGAAGGGGTGGGGTGGGAGGGGAGCAGAAAGAAGAAGGAAAGGAGCTAGAAGAAGGGGAGAAGGAGCAGTGGCTTTTGAAGGGCAAAGGCGTGGAGGCGTTTAAAGGGAGGGAAAGATCAGAAGTCAGGCTACTCTGTGTGCCTGGAGGGTGAGGCCGAGGCAGCAGGGCAGGTCTGTCAAGGACTTTGAATGTCACACTAAGGGGTTCAGGGTTGGTAAATTGCAGCCCGAGGCCAGTCGGCCCTCTGCTGGCTTTATAAATAAAGTTGTATTAGAATACAAACACACCCACTCAGTCACACATTGTTGCATTTCAGCTGTGAAGGCAGAGTCCAAGGGGCCCTTTGCAGAAAAACTTTGCTGACCATGGCAATAGGGTTCCCTCAAAATCCAAGGATGCCACCCTGCCCCTGGTCAGCTCCACCACAGAAACACTGCTCCAAGGGGATGTTGCCAGGACTCTCGAACTGCTGACCCCACCCCTGCTCCAGGGGGATGGTCACTGGGTCAGCTTTGTTCACCTCTCTAGTCCCCAGCCCCACCGGAGTAAGCACCCAATGGATGAGAACAGAGCTGAGCCCCCCCACAGGCCAGAAGCCCTGCCCTGGTTACCCACTGGGGTGGCTTCTTCCTCACCTTCCCCTCCCCTTTGCCCCTGGCATCACGATTTTCCTGCAAAGGGTCCTCAGTGGCACAGATGACCTCTCCCTTCCCCGGGTCTGGCTTCCTTGTGATGGGGCCTCCCGTGACTTTGGAGGGTCCTGGGCTTCAGGGTGGGGCTGCCTCTCTTAGGAGTGAGTGGACAGCTGGGCTCAGCATCCTTTCAAGTAGGGAGACCCTCTTGGATTTTTCCATTGGCTTGAGACGTGAGAGGGTCCAAGCCTGAGATCATGAGGGTCGCTGCTGTGAGAAGCGAGGGAGGCAGGGCACTGGCCCTGGCCTGGGTGACCGAGCAGACCCCGCACGTGCACCTTTCAGCTGTGTAGCTCGGAACAAGCCATTTGCCTCCCTGGGCCTCAGCCTCCTCCAAGAGTGTCCTTGGACCACCTACATCAGGGTCCTTTGGGAGAGCTTGCGAGGATGCAGATTCCTGGGCCCCACCCTAGACCCAGAGTCAGAGTCTGGGGTACTAAGCCTGCAGTGGTGCAGGTTTACCAGCTGTCCAGGTGATGGGGACAGAGAGAGCATGCTTGCCAGTCACCTTCTGCGAGCCCCTCTGCGAGGCCCTTTAAGTGTTAACGTTATTTCTCTGTTTTTATTACTGGGGCGGGGGGCCCTGGATGTACCATTTCTGGTCCTGTTGCCTTCCATTCTCGGAGGGGCCCCGTGTGTCGGAGGAAAGCAGGACAGAGAGGTGGAGAGGCATTAGCAATAGCAACAAGCACTGGGCGGGGTTGGGCCCCTGGGAAGGAGCGGGGAGGCAGATGCTGCTGAGGCCATTTGCCCTCTTGCCCACCGCTCCGGGCTACCCTGCTCCTGCCTGGCACGGACAGCCTCCACCCCTCTCTGCAGGGAGGAAGCCTCTGCCAGAAAGTGACCATGAGTGACACCACCGAAGCTTTCCAGCCATCAGTTTGTTATGGAATTGGTCATGGCACGTTTGAACTGGGAGGAACCTTAAGAATATTCTAGTCCTGCTCTTTCATGCTCCAGTTGGGGAAACGGAGGTCCAGAGAGGGGAGCAGCTTGCTCGAGATCCTCCTGTGAATTAGTAGTACCAGATGGGGGCTCAGAAGCCGGATTTCTGGAGTCCAGCTCCCCATCCTCCGCGCCCAGCGTCTCACAGACTCCAGCTCATGGGCAATATCTACCCGTTACTTTTGTAGTTTCTGACATGTTGGCATCCCATTTGTATTATTATTTGCTTAGCATTTTCCCAAATAGACTTTCTGTTTTACCTAAATAAATAAATCCATTTAAAAAAGAAACCCTCACGTCATGACCATAAATGGATAACGGGTATCATGTGTCAGAAATAGAAGGTTAGCATAGGAATAATTACACAACTCTTGACATAAATAAGCTCAGTCTGCGTAGTCCTTACACGCATTTTGGAAACCACCAGTGGGATCTTCACTAGCCTTTTGGAAATGCTTGAGTCCAGCGTAGTGGGAGATGTATAGATTTAAGCCGCATTCTGGAATGATCTCGAGTGGACAGTTGCAGGCCACTGGGGTTCAATTCCAGTGTTAACTACTCACGTGGTTTCTGCAGGTGACTGCTCTTCTTGGGTCCATCATCTATAAGGTGGGGTTCACCACCGTGGCATTTCCATGGGAAACAGCCAGGGGAGTGCCTCGAGACCCACAGGGCACTACGCATCCTGAGGTGTGCTATTTCAGCAAACCCCCTACTTGGGGGTCTGTTCTGGGTCCAACAGGATAGCTGACATGGAGCAGGCCAGCATCTTCAGGGGGAGGTGTAGAATGAGTGGCTCCCTTTTTGCCATCAGCCATTGTCAGGCTAGGGGAAGAGCAGCTGCTCCGGTAGGGGGGTCGGACCTCTCCTCCCTCTCTCCTTTCTTCTCTCTCCCTCTCTCCCTCTTTCCCTCCCCCGCCTCTCTTTCTCTCTCATTAGGACAGAGAGGGCAGTCATGGATTTTATGTAGCTGCAGCAGGGGAGATTCAAGTTAGACTCCCAGAATTGTTTCTAATGCTCATTCAGTTCACTGAAAGATATTAGTGAGCTTCCAGAAATGAAGCTGGGGACCCTCTCCTATAATAGACTCAGCTGCAGGGGACAGGCAGCCCTCCAGGGTTTTCCCCTTGCCTGCACTTGAGCACAAGCCTGTCTTGGGGAGACTGAACCTGGGGGAGGCAGCGGGGCTCGGTGATGGTAGGAGAGGGCGTGGGCTCCCTTGAGCTGCCTTTCCAGCCTTTCTTTGGATTCAAGGGGTTGAAAGGGGAGAGAACTGGGAACCCCACGTGTGAGATACTCCAGTCTCACCGAGAACCAGGCTCCAGCAGACCCTTGTGACCTCCCTAGCTGCCTTCATCTTCCCTCACTCAACCAATTCCCTGAGGGTGAAGCGAAGGCCAGAGAGAAAGGGACCTTCCTGAGGTCAGGTGGCAGGCCAGGGCAGGCCGGAGAGTGACACGGAGGACTCCTGCCTCCCGGCAGGTGCATGTGTCCACCTCGATGCCCTTCCTCAAACTGGTTCTCAAGGACAGCTCTGAGATCTGCCTTGTCATTGCTGTTTGGGGACATGCCCCGGGGTGGGCTGCTGGCCTGGGAGGGTGATCAGGGTGGGCAGATCCCAGGCAAAGCTTCAGCCACGGGAAGATGTGCAGGCTGGACCCTGCTTACGAAGAAGACCGGGTTGGACTGAACAGGTGCTTGGGGGCAGTCAGAGCCCGGACCTGCTCTCAGGCTGTGTAACGTGGGGACATCATCCACCTCTTCTCTTTCACCGCTGAGTTTCCTCCTCTGGCAAGTTACGATAATCATGCTTTTCTACTGACACGAAAGAGGAGACTCTAGGACAGCACCGACTGCAGCGGGAATGCCGTGTAAATAAACGGGCGCCGGCTTTGTCAGCTCTGGCCCGCTTACAGGAACAGGCCTGCATCCCCGCATCTGCCGCTGAGGGAACCTTGGGGTCGGCATCTGAAAAACCCCAGTCCTGGCTAGACAGAAAGGGACTGGCCCAGCACCTGACCTCTCTTTGAATTTGGGGGCCTTGTGTTCTATTGAAATGGAGCAGCTTTTTCTCTGCCTGAGCCCAGCTGGCTCATGGGGCCCTGGGAATGGAAAAGAAATGACCAGAAGACACTTACCCTGGGGCTGGGCCTGTGGGGGCCTCTCTGGTCCAGAGCTTATAGCTGCTGCTGGCCCGGTGTCCTGTCCACCTGCCTCTTCCTGCCTGACCTCATGGCTCCTCTCGGTGGGCCTCTTTAAGATCTCCTCAATGGAGAAGGACAGCTCGAGCTTCTTGGGGGCCCCCCAGCACCCCGGGGTTTTCCTCTCCATCCCCTGCAGAGGGCAGGGCTTGCCTTGGGGCACTCTGTGGGCGGCTGTGAGGAGAAGCAGAAGGGGACTTTGTGTGTGCCCAGGGCGATGCTGGCGGAGGGTGGCGTACTTCCTCCCCTGGAACTTCTGGAATCAAAAGAGCAAATGGAGGTGGAGCACAGGGAGCCTGGTGTCAGATTCTCCAAGCACGATTCTGTCTCCACATGGACTTCCATGGGCTGCTCTAACCCCCGGCCCAGGATGGAGGAGGCAGCTCACACTGGGAGAGCTGGAAGGAGCTGTAACCCAGGCCCGTGGGCCCAGAGCTCTTGCAGGCTTGAGGTCACACGAGTCACCGTTGCCACGCCGGGTTCGGTTGTACTGCCAGAGTTCTTCTCCGGGGTGGTCGCTTTCAGAATCCCCAGGCTAGGTCAGGGTCCCTGACGTCACTGTCAGTGAGGACTAAGGCAAAGAGCTGGAAGGAAGAGGAAAGGCCACCTTTGCCTTTTCTCTGGCTTGTGGCCCTTGCCTGCCGGCTCTGGCCAGCCTCTGGAAGGCTGGAGTGCCACCCTTGGGCCCCAGGGGGCCAACTCCGATCCGGGCCACCCGCAGCTTGAAAGGTGTTCCCAGAAGCCCTCTTGGACTTTGAGTTCTGCTGCCTCTCGACTCCAGAATGGGCTTTCTGCTGGGCTTCCGCTGTCCGGCAGGTGCAGGCTTAGGTGGGGGGTCTCTGGACCACCACAGGCTGGCTGCCCGTGACAGGGCTGGACTGAGTGCCAGTGTCTTTGGCCTTCCTTCTGGTCTCCCTGCCTTCACTTCGCAAGCCTCTCCAGAGGCTCCCGGCCCGAGGTGACTCTCCCTTCCTTTCGGTGTCCTTTCTGCTTCTTCCTGGCTGGCATGCCCCTTACCTGTCCCCCAAGATGGCTCCGAGGGGACCCTTTCAGGCTGTCCCGTAAACTGTTGGCTGGGAGCTGACAAGGCATCCGCCTGTCCTTACAGGGAATTCTGCTCCCAATTACTATGTAATCAGGGAGGAGGGGGCAGTAAAACAGCTGATAAGAGAAGAAAGTCTCCACCCTCCTTAAGGCCGGAGACGCAGGTGTTGGGGGGAAGGGGCAGGGGGCAGAGTGGAGCTGAAGGGTTGGCAGGGGGGGCCCTGGGGAGGTGCCATGTTGGGGAACTGGCTAGGTAGGAGCAGGACGAGGGAGGTTGGGAACAGGCTGGCCAGGAAGTGTCCCCAGGCCCAATAGAACACGTTTGCTCAGTTAGGAGAGTTTATGGGTCACATGGAGGCTGGGGGCTGGGCCGGGGCGCAGTCTGTTGGGTGTCAGCTATGGGCGGTCCCAGTCAGACGTCCTTCCCTGGGCTTGCAAATATCAGAGCAGGAGACGTTTCTGAGTTCTTATGGTGTATGTGGGGAAACTGAGGCCCAGATCAAGGAGGCAGAGTGGATGTCAAGGCACGGTCTGATTTAAGTACTCCACCGGGGAGCTCCAGGGTGCTGGGCTGGGCTCAAGGACCCAGTTGCCACGAGAGTGACAGATGCCCCAGGAGAGACGGTGAACGCGTGTTGGGACCCTGGAAGCCAGACCTTCTCCCAGAGGCTGGGGGGCGGGGAAGGCTGACCCCTACTCCCTGTGCAGGATGAGTCCGGAGAGTGAGGGACTCGCCCTGAGATAGGGAGCGGGTAAAGATCCCTCATCCTGCTTTAGAAGCGCTACCCCTTGGGAGCATCAGGCTCTCCGATGGAGCTAGGGGGCCCTGGGCTCCGAGAGGCAGTCATGAGCCAACTCTACAATCTTGGGAGCGTCCTTGCTCAGCCATGCCAAAGCCTGAGGTAGTTGGACATCTGGCTTCTTCCAAACAGGGATGCTACCACCCTCCAAGTTTTCCCCGGAAGAGGAAGCAATTTTAACGAGTCAGAAGTGGAAGTGTAACTTAATGTAACTTCTGCTCATATACTGTGGCCAGACCGAGTCACATGAACCCGCCTACGTGTAAGGGGGCTGGGAAATGGCGTTCTCCCTGTGCCAGGAGGAAAATGAACCAGTTGGGTGAATGCACAGTGAAATGCCTGCTGTATACTGTTATGGTCAGGAGGCCAGAGTCCCACAGTGGTCAGACCGCCGTTGGCTGGCTAAAAGAGTCGTTGATTGTGAGGACATGTTTCCCTCCATTGGGGGCAGAGAAAAGGGTGAGGGTGGCTGGTCAAGAGTGAGGAGAGGGACTTTTGGGGCCGAAGCAGCAGAAGCAGTGAGGACAGGGGGAGAGGCCGTGGAGCTAGGGCCTGTGCATTCACTGCCTCATTTAACCGACCCCACGGCTCTATTAGGTGGCTGTCATCCATGCTGCTTTACAGCTGAGATGTGTGCAGAGAGGTGGAGTGGTGGGGATAAGGCTACACAGCTAACCAGCAAAGAAGCAGTGTTGAAACCCAGGTTGGTCCTACTCTCAAACCCTGCTCCCTTTGCCATAATCCCCAGAGACCATCTGGTCCAACCCTGTCATTGTACAGATGGCCCAAATCCCAGAGAGAGAAGTTGCTAGAGTTACTACACCTGTCATTTTCAGCACCTCTTTTGAGTTCCTTATATTTTACCTCTCTTGGGGGTGAGCCTCACTCCCCCGCAGGTTAAGGAAACACCCCTTGTCATGTGGACCTGGACACTTGCTCTCCTCCCGACCTGTCGCCCACGGCTAGCCACAGCCCTGGCATTCACGCTATGTTCATTCCAGAAATGTGCCTCGAGCATCTACTGTGGGCCAACCACTAGGGACGTGTAGATGAACGAGACACAGACTCTGCCCCGACGGACTTACCTTCCGGGGTTGGGGAGGGGAGACTGGGGCTGCAGATGGGCCAGTGTGACAAAGTGGAAAGTGGTTGGGGGTCAGGAGGGGCTCTGGTGGGACTGCAGAGCTTGGGTGGCTGCCTGGATGCAGAGGAAGCAGAGAGGCAGTGGTGTCATTGCACGGGGGCTCCCTCGTTTATTCTCCTCGAAGACACACGAGCCAGTAAAAGCACCCTGCATGGTGCACTGTTCCTCCTTTCATTGATGGGAGAGGGCTTTCATTTTCTGAAGAGGTATTTAGGAAGAACATGCTGGAAAAGTAGGTTGGAGCCATCTGTTCATTTATGCATCCATCAACTATTTTTGAAGCACCCGCTCTGAGGTGCCCCACTGTGACTACAGTGCTGGGACAACAGTTGCGATCCAAATAGACACGCTCTCTCTTCTGGAGCTTACCTGGAGACTAGAGATGATAAATAAGTGCCCGATCTAATTTCCATGCGTGATAATGTGATAAATAAAACAGGATGATGAACCAGAGAGAGCGGCCAGGTGAGGGAAGGTACTTTAGTTTCTTCAGATGTGAATTTCATCCCCCCCCGCCCTCCCCCACCCAGGAGGCAATACAGAACCAGGGTGTTTTTGTGAGCAGTGGTTCACGACCTGAGCTGTAGGGTTAAGGCAAACATCAGGGACAAAGGGGAGAGAAGTTATGGGCTGAGGGTGTTGGTGTCTGGGAGGGAGTGTGTATCGGGATGCGTTCAGCTGTAAGTAACCAAATACCTAACATGAGAGGTGCAAACACTAGGGGTTTGTTAGTTTGCTTGGTGCTGTGTGCAGGTGGGAGGATCCAGGGCTAGTTAATTCAGGTATGATAACAATGTCAAGGGCCAGGCACTTGCCAGTTTTCTCCTCTGCCATCCCCAATGCATTGGTTTTGTCTCTGTGCCTGTCCCCACATGGCTGGTAGATGGTTCCAGAGGCTCCAGGCTTCTGGCCTCATACACGCACAAGCGGGCTTGCCAACCCCCACTCTTTTTCTCAGGGAGGAAAGCCTTTCCCAGAAGTCTCCGAGCAGATTCCTTTTATTTCCCCTTGGCCAGGACTGTGTTCCCGCCCTCAAACCAATCCCTTCCAGAAAGAAGGAAATGACCACGACAGATGAAATTATTCAGGGTTCACTCCCTGGGATGGTGCTGGAGCTGGCTTTCTTGGTCATTCTACTGCTCAGTTCCTGGACAAAACTAGGGTCTGTGAGCCAGGAGGAAGATGAGTGACTGCTGTCGAGGAGAGGCCAGAAGTGTCTGCTTCAGGAAGTAGGTGGCGGGTCAAGTGGGTTTTGCTCTGGGAGGTAGTGCAAGAAGGGGCGTGCACCCAGGTGTGCAGGGATGGCAGCACTTCCTGAGCAGTTGGTGCGTGTGGTAGGCCCCTCCTGGGATTTGGGGAAAAGAGGAAGAGAGGAAGCAGGGAAGGAAGGAAGAACCACCCCCCTCTTTGGGCAGCTTGGACACGTCTCACAGCGAGACCCTTCCCAAGGCCATTACTGTGTTCCCCCCTCTGCCGCTCACAGCCTTCATGGGACAGGGAGTCACTCCTGTTGTGCAGTTGAAGGGATTAAAGCCTGATGAGGGAAGTGACTCACTCACGGTCTCTTTGTTAGTTGCTAGCTGGCAGCAGAGTCACGGCTTGGACCTAACCCTTGCTGTTACCCAACTGCAACCTCTTTCTAGCACTCCACACAGCCTCCTAGAGTTATTTAAAAATCCCGAGTTTTTAGAAGGAACTACCAAAGAAGCATCTCTACGGACACCTCAGTGGGTTGGCGGTTGAGAGATTTGAGGTCTGCGGGACTCCCACTCTATTACTTCCCTCCAGAGCAATTTTTCTGGCTCTAGCCCTCTGTGTTTTAGGAATTCTGTGGTGCTAGCTTCCTGTGCAGAAGAGGGCGTGTTCAGGGACAATGACATGAAGGTGGTCTGCCATGGGGATGGTATGGTGAGAGGATAAGGCGTTCTTAGTGGACCCCTCCCACCCTTGTCCTTGCAAAATTTGCCCTTGAGACTTGCTTCTGCCAATGGCCTCCTGGGGGGATGGAGATGCCTAGATCTGCCATTCTGAGCTCACATTTGATTCTTTTTCACTCCAGATTCCATTGAGGGCATTCAAAGCCTTTCCATTGTCCATCAGGTCCTTAGGCTCCCTTGCTTGGGAATGAGAGCTTGTCCTTCCGAGCAGGCTGAGCAGATCCTAGAGGCACCCTGCATCAGGAAGGCAACACTTTGAACACAGAGCCTTTCCCTTGGGGGTTTGATAACCAGTGGGGTTGGACCTGGGGTCAAGTCGAGTCACACCTCCCAGGTCAGGTACATGCAGTCTGCTTGGACCTTGGGTTGTGTGTGATGGTTAAAATCTTTCATTTGCATCACATATTTAAAGCCAGTCATCATAATCTCTGAAAACCAGAATATCAGTACTGACATGGGGCTTGCAGGGTCCTGCTTGAACTGCTTTGGAGTCGATGAATGGTTTCATATGTAAGTGACAGTTTCCTGTATTTAGCTTTCCTTATGGAAAGCTGTATCCAGCAAGAGGACAACTCCTGACCAATGGATTTAGAGTCTAGTATTTCTGAGTGTTAGTCCGTGGCATGGATCTGGGGAATTTTCCATTTGATCCTTCATTCAGCAAACATTCATTTGGTGCCACTGTGTGTCAGATACGAGGTTAAGTGGAAGAAATATAGGAAGACCAACTCCTGCCTGATAAGATTATAGATCAGAGAGAAGACATGATCAGCAAGCAGACAAGTAGGTAAAATAATTACTGTAAGTTGTATTTCAGTTAGCCTGTCTTATTTATTACTATGTTTAGGAAGGTGATTTTCAGGCAGGGACAAAGTGATAACGATCCTCCCACCTTAACCGTGGGTATTGCCATGCCGGAGGCTATTAGGACTCATGGTTATACTTCAAAGGATGGGGCTATTGCCAAGAGGGGAGCGGGACTTTGACATTGGTGGAAATTGCTTGTTTGAGAATCTCTGGAAATGCCAAGAGATGCCTTGAATTTACCTTCTCGTCCATTATCAGCGGGTTGCTGGCAAGTTAAAATTGGTTTTGTTGGTTCGTTTTCACTTGGGTAAATGTGGATTTTGTCACCGTGGTTCTTGGTTTGATAAAGACTGTCAGAAA